ATTGTGATAAATTTTCTTCAAAATGGCTAATTTTTCTATAAACCATTTATGCATTATGCTAAACTGAATGCACTATAATGCTTTTCTATCTGATAGGCTCCCCTTAATGTTTTGCATTCTCCTTGATATTTATATTTTATGTTTTAATTTTTTTCTCTTTCTCTGTCCTTGATATCAAATCAAACCTTTATCATTCACACAATAGATAGTAAGTCAAAATCTGTACTATTCTTTAAATTTTATCTTTTGATCTGTCATTTGTATAGGAAGTAAGTCATGATGTGTGCCATTTATGTTTGATTCTTAATCCACCATTCTCTTTCCAATTAAACTTTGTCACTTAATATAGGCTGTAAGTCAATAATAATACAGTTTATCTTTTTTATGTGTCCTTTCTCTTACATGAATAATTTGATTTAACTGCTACTTTTGTCACACAATAGGGAGTGAGTCATAATGTGTACTATTATATATTAATCTGTATTTTCTTTTTTATGATTATGAATTAATGATGAATTAACACTATTCCTGTAGATAGTAAGTTATTATGCGCACTATAAATATTTAATTTTTATCTTTGTACCTCTGGTATTATTATCTTTACCACATAATAGGAAGTAAGGCATAATGTATTACTTTACATTTTATCATTTTAATATGTTATTCAATCAACAATTAATAAACTATTATTTTCACTATACATAGCATGTAAGTCATAATTTGTACTCTTCTTTACATATTATATTTTAATTTGTCTTTCTCTCTGATTAACCAACAATTAACTGTTATTTATGTCTCGCAATAGACTGTAAGTCATGTAATGTGTATACTATTAGTTTTTTCTTTTAATCTCTCTTTCTGTTTCTGATATTAATTTTAATTAAACTCTTATCTTTGTCACACAATAGAAAGTAAGTCATGATGTGTATAGATCTAATTGTCTACATTTCATTTTTGATAAAATGTTTTGTCACTAAATAGGCAGTAAGTTATAAGACGTTTTAAGTGTTGTTTTAATGTGTCATTCTCACTGCTATTATCATATATAGGCAGTAAGTGATATTTTGTACTGTCTTTTTCATTTATTTTCTGTCTGCATGATATCAAACAATTTTGTCACTTAATAGACAGTAAGTTATGATATGTACTATCATTATATTTTTTTGATGTATTTGTCTTTCTTTCAACAATAATTAAAATTGTTTTCATTCATTATAGACAGTAAGCCATAATATTTACTATTTGTTAAATTTTATGTTTAATTTTCAATGTGTACAACATCACACAATAGATGGTAAGTCACAATTTTACCATTATTTACAATTATCTTATGTCATGTGATTTTTTATATCTATGTACCACAATAGAAAGTAAGACATAATAAGTATTGTTATTTACATCCTATCTCTTTATGTTATCAATAAACAATAAATCAAACAACACAATAGAATGTAAGTAATAGTATGTACTATTTACACTTTATCTTTTAATTTTTCTCTCTGATATCAATTGAACTTATATCTTTGTCACAATAGAAAGTAAGTCATAATGCACATATGCTTTTGTTTTATCTCACAATAACTAAACCATTATCTTCGACATGTAATAGATGGCAAGTCATGATGTGTAGTATTGTGTACTAAATTCTCTTTCTATTATGATATCATTATACATGTGAACTGTTACTATGTCACATTAGATCAAAAATGCACATGTAAGTCATATTGTTATTTACATTAAATCTTTAGCTGTCATATAGTACCAATGAGCAACATTTATGTTATATTTGTGTGCTATTGTGCCATTATTTACAGTTTAATTTATTTTATTTGACAATAACTGTATTATTTTTTTTGTCATAGATGGTAAGTCCTTGATGTTTACTGAATATATGTATTCTCTCTCTATTATCAATTAACGATGATTGAACTTAATTTTTGCTACACAATATAGGTTGTAAGTTATAATAAAGTGTACTATTATTAATTATTAATCTTTCGTTCTATCTCTGACATCAATTGAATTGATCCACCATTACTTTCGCACAATAGGGAGTAAGTGATGATGTTTACATTATTTACTCTCTCTCTGTTCTAATATCTAATATTAATGAATTATAATTTTTATATTTGTTACTTGATCAAAAGAAAGTATGTGATAATTGCCTGTATTATATTTATACTTTTCATTCGTTTATCTCTCTCTCCACAATTAATATACACAATAGACAGTAAGTCATAATATGTATTATATTTAATCTTCCTATTTGAACAAAAAATAAATTCTAAATAGGATGCACCTGTAAGTCATAATTCTATTATTTTAATCTGCCATTAATTTTCTCTGATGACAAAATATTAGACTGTTACTTTGTCACAAAAGCATGGATCTGTAAGTCATTATTGGTTCTATTATATACATAATTATTATATTTAATCTGCCATTCTCTTTTATTTCAATGGGGAAATATTAAACTGTTACTTTTGTCACAATAGGTGGATATACCTGTAAGTCATAATTGGTTTTATTATTTTCAATTTATATTTTAATAATAAAGCCTTCAGAAACCCCTGAAGTATGTGTACCAAATCTATTATTATTTTTCCCTTTTAATGTCAATTTACAACAATGAAACTCTTATTTTTCTCACTTTATAGGAAGTAAGGCATAATGTGCATTATAACTATTATTTACATTTTGTCTTATAATTTTGTCATTTTTTCTTATATCAACAATTTATTAAACTTTTATCTTATTTGTCACTAAAGGAAGTAAGTCATATTTGTACTTGTATGTACATTTTGTTTTTAATTTGTCTTTGTCCCCACCAATAGAGAGTAAGTGATATATTATTGATTTCTATCTTAATCTCTGATGTCAATTGGCAATAATCCAACTGTTATCTTTCTTACATTATAGGAAGTAAGACATACAAGTATTGTGCATTATTATTAATTATTTTTAATGTGTCACTTTCTCTTTGATACCAACAATAATAATTCTGTTCAATAGAAAGTAAGTCATATTGTATATTGTAGTATGTTGTTTCATTTAATGTCTTTTTTTCTGTAATATGCTATTCAACAATAATTAATCTGTTATCACACGATATAGGAAGTAAGTGATAATGTGTACTATTACTCAATGACATATTCCTGCCTTCCTCTCTGATGTTAATTAACATTCATTTTTTTCCCACCATAGCAAGTATGATGACATATTGTGTGTTGTGATTATTATTTATGCTATATATGTCTTTCAATCTGTCATTATTCCTCTGATATCAAAAACAATAATGAAACTATTACCTTTGTCACTCAAGGAAGTGAGTCATGTTGTGTACATGCTTATTTACATTTGTTTTCAATCTGTCTTTCTTTGTCATATACAATAGAAAGTAAGTGATAATGTCTACTATTATTGATTTCTGTCTTCCTCTGATGTCAATTAACAATAATTCAACACACAATATAGGAAGTAAGACATACTGTGCATTATTATTTATTATTTTTTACTCTATCATTTGCTATTTGTTACCAATGCTGTTATATAGAGAGTAAGTCATATTTAATTGTTTTACTTAATCTGTCTTTTTTTGTGACACAAAACTGTTATTTTCATCACACAATAGGAAGTAAGTGGTAATTTACCATTATTCATGTCTGTCTTCCTCTCTAATGTCAACTAATGTGTGGTCAATTAACATTGATCAAACTGTTGTCTTTCTCACACAATAGGAAGTAAATCATTTTACTTTTTATTGTTTAATTTGTCATTCTCTTTTTGCTATCAATCAACAACAATTAAACTATCAATTTGATACACGATAGAAAGTAAGTCATAATGTGTCCTGTTTTTATTTTAATCCATCTTTTTTCCTCAACAACTATTACACTATGATCTTTTTCTCAAAATAGGAGGTGAGTTGTTAATTTGTCTATAGTTCTATCTGTTGTTTTTCATCTCATACATCAATGAACAATAATTAAATTGTTATCTTCCTCATGTAATAGATGGTAAGTCATAATGTGTACTGTTATTATACAATGCATTTTTAATTATTCATGTTTGCATTGTCCTTTGCTTTTTCATTTAGTTTTTTGTGTAGCAGATTTTGCAAATACAAATACACATGGAGTATATAGGCATGCTTTCACCCAAAATTGCATTTTCCACCAAATTACCAAAGTTTAACCAGACAAAAAAACCTGCTGTACATGCAGCTAATGAAAATAAAGTCCCAATGCAGATTTACCTGATAATTTTGCCTGTTAATCATTTTAAAAATTTTCAAATTAGTTGACATACTACTGTAATTGCAATACTGTATTGTACATAATTATTTATTTAAATCTAACTCATTTTATGATAATTTAAAACTTATTGCATCATATACAGTATGTATTGCTGTTACATGATTACAACTAGTCTGTTATACATGTACCAGTAAAACTGTAAAATAGATTGTCTACGGTATTTTTAGAGACAAAGAAGAATTGAGGCATATAACAGGGCATTAGCTAATGGAGAAATGGATGTTGCTTATTCACGTGTCTTCTTCCTGGGCACTGCTGGTGTGGGGATGAAAAGCTTTAAACGTTCTCTTATGAAGTTACCATGGGAACATGACACTAGTGCAGATAGTAACCAACTTCGTCCATTCACACATGAGTGGCACACACTCAAGGATGATCAATTGAAAGCTGCGTCACTCGAGGATGAAATTGAAGAATTAACTGGATTAATATATGCTGTTTATAAAAAGAATCTTGATGATCATGACAAAAAATTTCAGCCTCCACCAGATGATGATGTAATTAAAGATGCTCTTGCAATCTTAAATGCTGTTATATCCTTCATTGAAAATAATAGTCTAAAAAAAATAAAGCCACGGCCATTTCTTCATTTTTGGGATAGTGGTGGTCAACCACCTTTTCTTGAAATTTTACCAGTTTTTCTTACTTCTCGTACACTATTCTTTCTAATTTTTGATGCAGAGAAAGATTTAAATATAAAGAGCATGGACCAGGAGGAGGTTCATATGACAACACTTGATTACATGCTCAGTTGGATGGCTAACATTCATGGCCACTTATTGTCATATGATGATGAAGGAGGTTTTTGTGAATTTCCACGAATGTATTGTGTTGGCACTCATGGGGATCGTGTTGTGAAGGAGAAAAAGTCAGAAATAGAAAAAGAACTGGAACATCATTGTCAGGGTAAAAACTTCCGAGTTTTACTTGAAGATACAGTAATTGTTGACAACACCACTTCTGGGCAAGGTGAGAATGAAGATCCATCTCTGCAAGCTTTAAGGAAAGCTGTCGTTCAATTTACAGAAGAAAAACTTGTTTTAAAAACACCTCTTAGTTGGGTTCTCTTTCGAAAAGTCATTCAAGTTATTAGCAAGAAGTGTAATGTCATCAGTTTAAAGTATGCTACTATAATTGGAGTTAGTAGTCAAATTCCTCCTGAAGATGTGCCCCATGCCCTAATGTTTTACCATGAACTGGGCGTTTTGCTATTCTACCCTCAAATTGTTGGTATGGAAGATAAGGTTGTTATCAATCCAAAATATATTGTTGATGGTCTTGGAGAATTATTTATCTCAAGTGTGAACCCTGACAGAGGCAGGTACCACAAAGAATGGGAGCTCTTTCATGAGTCTGGGATCCTTGTTCAGCCACTTTATGTAGCATTATGGAAGAAATATGGAGAAGTTTCACCAGATATTTTTATCAAGGTACTGGCTCATTTCCACATTGCTGTTGAAGTTAAGACAGATGAATATTTTCCTCCTTCCAAGCAATATTTCATGCCACTTGCTCTAAAGTCAACACAAGTTAAAAGCCCAATCACCAATTCCCAAGCAGCACCTCTTCATATTACCTTCAGTAGTGGGTTTGTACCTCCTGGTTTCTTCACTCGTTTTGTTGTTGCACTTGCCAATGCTGGAAGAATCGAACTTTGTTTTGAGAAAGGTGTCTACAGAAACTGTGTCACATTTCGTTATCAGGATCGCAATAGCAACAGCATTGAGCATATAATAGTCACTGATTGTCGTGATGTTGTTCAGATCAATGTACAACATCATAGTTGTGATCAAGAATTAGTTTCCTTCCCAAAAATTTGTCAAGATATTCGTGTTTATTTAGAAAATGCAGCAGTAAAAGTTAAAAAACTTTTAAAGGATTGTGCCAGTGGATGGACTGACGATATCAAGCCAACTCGATACATATTCACCCACAAGTTTAAGTATGTCTGCACTAGCTGTTCTACGATAACAACCTCACCTCATTACATAAAACTTCCGCCATCAAATACAACTCAGGATTCTCAAGTGTTTTGTGATAAAAACAAGGTTGTTTACCGAGCTCTTACTGAACAGGAGAAAGTTTGGTTTAAAGACACAAGTCAGGTAGACAATAAATTTTTTACTTTTTATACTTTACAATGTCTATGCAGTCAACACCAGCAACACAAACATCACCCACAGCAACATCAAAGTCACCAGAAAGAAATGATGTAATTATAGTTATCATTGTAGCATTATCATTTTGTTTTTGTTATTGTTATAGCTAACGAAAGAGAGAGTCCTTAAAAGTTCTGATGTGTCCGATGTGAGACTGCTAGGTAAAATCTTAAATTGAATGAATTTACAATTATTGGGGGTACAGAATATATATAATTAATTAACACAGTGCCCACAAAGCTATCATCTGCCTCATTCTATTTTTTACTGAACTATATTTAGACTGTGAGCCATCATTGCTAATACTGATATATTTTTGGCCTAAGTACATTCAGTAAGAACTACATACTTGAAGGTGTAGAGTTCTCATTGCATGGGTGCATGTGGTTAAATTCATTTCAAAAAATAGTGCTGTCTTACAATTATGTGCATACAATTATTTTACACATCACAGTGATAGATCTATTATCTTTATGCACGCAGACATTACTGATCTTGATGATGTCGTTGATGAGTTACGGTCAATTGATTTCACTGAGTGGAAAGCATTGGGTCTCAGCTTAGGGCTGTACCACAATAATTTGGGAATAATTGAAGAAAGCTGTAGAGGAAATGTTAAGAAATGTTTTACGGAGTGCATGGCTGCCTGGTTAAAAGGAGAGGATAAAGTGAGAGAGAAAGGAGGTCCCAGCTGGTCATCCTTAGCTACAGCACTGGAAAAAATCGAAGCAAATGGCATTGCTAATAACATAAACGCAAAGTATAATTTAAATAGGCCATAATTTTTTGCTGCTGCTATTATCTTTAAACTAGTATTTTGGTAGTATTAGTTTTTTGTAGTATTAGAGTGTTTTGTAGAAATAGACTGAGTATTTTTGTAGCTTCATTAATATTTACTGCTGCTTTTTTTGAGTTGTGACATTAGATTTAAACACTATAATAACTTAATTTTTGAACTGTGCATGCAATGGTTGAGTGGGAAAACTGATTTAAAGTAAACTCCACTCACAGCCATGATCTAGGTGGATCTTTATTTACATCAAATTTTAATATTTATATATGTGTCAACACATATCTACAGCATGATTGCATCCATATGGATGTGACTGAAAAGAGTAGCACAACAATTACGAATAAAGTGGGTCAAGCAAAAAGTCACAATTGACTGAAGAGATTTGTACACTGGTTCAAAAAACACAATTAGTTAGTATCTCTCTCTTTTTGAATCTTCATTTTTATTTATACTCTCTTTTTTGCATAGACAAGATCAATACACTAGAAGGTGATTGAAGTACATCACCAGAAGAACCTGCAAGGTGCTTAACAGCTATAATGATACTTTTATCTACACTAGTCACTAGTCACTACAATGCTACATGATATTTATGAGTTTACTATCTGAGTATGTGTCTTTGCACCATATCTGGTAAAGTATTATTGTTAATATTAACAATGTTGATTGATGTATACATTGATTCATTATGGAATGCAATATATTGTTTATTTGTATATTGTTGTTGTTATTGGTATAGACTGCTGGAATGTATGGCAGAAATAAGAAGCACTTTATGGAAAAGAGGACACATTTAGAGAAATGTTAAAGGTAAAGAGAGGGATGCAACACTCAGGTAAGGAGAAGAGAGAGAAGGAGTGATGGAAAGAGGGGGGAAGAAAAAGAGGGATGGATGTGATTTAATACTGACATAAGCAGCTCAGCAGCAAAACAACACTTTGCTTCAGCAACTGTTTTTCTGTTTTCATAATTGCATGGGAGAGAGAGTGAGTGAAAATAAAACTATAGAGGTTGAGATAATTATATGCAAGCATTAATGATCATACATGTACATGTAAGTTCATTTGAATTGTTAGGTTAATTTTAT